GCAGCAGCCTCTTCAGGGGGCCTCCTAGGCATAGCACGTTGCAATGATACGCACTCAGAGCGCGATACTCACCGAGTCCTGGTGAAGAAGTACGGTTTAGCTTTGGGTATCGAAAGATCTAGATTGACCACAAAGGATCCGGAAGTTGACATCCCCGTCTTGAAGCTGCGCTCTTGGTTTCAGTACATGCTTGGAAACAACTGCCTTCACATCATGACTGGGCTGATGAGGCCAGATGTGAAGAGAGAACGGGCGATTTTGCGCCGCTTCTGGGCTCTTTACAAAACATGGGATCCGGAACACGATGTGTTTGCAAAAGAAGCTCGAGGTGAACTATGCCTTGAACGGTGCATTCCACTGTGCCTTCACGGGGATGAGGGCCGGTCACGGAAGCATTCACCATTTATGATTTTGAGCTTCTACTCAATGCTGGGACGAGGAGTGTGTGTTGAGAAACGGAAGAGGCGGAAGCCGACGTTGAAGCGGTATTTGAAGTTGCAACCAAACTTCAAAGGACACAGCTATACATCGCGTTTTCTCTTTACAGCATTGAGGAAAAAGGACTATGTAGAAAAGAAGGCTTTTGTATGGACATCAGTTCTTGAGGAGGCTGCACAGGAAAGCATGTTCATGTTTGACAGCGGAGTGCAGGATGATGTTGGCACAGTTCATTGGGGTGTCTTGCTCGCCATTACTGGCGATTGGCCATTTTTACACAAAAGTGGCCAGTTCAAGAGATCGTTTAACAACATACAGAAACGAATTGCCCAGCGCCGGCTACCAGCTGGCATATGCCACCTGTGTAGAGCAGGACAGGTGGACATACAGTTCGAGCAGATTGCCACTCGGCGGCCGTCTTGGATACAGACTCTTCATCAAGAAGATCCCTTTGAGGTTCCAAGTCCATTCATCCGTGGACCCCACACTCAGGGCAAACTGCCCGCCTTGTTTCACTTCGATGTGTTTCATACTTGGCATCTTGGTGTATCCAAGAATTTTCTGGGATCTGTCTTGGCGTTGATGTCAGAGCAATTTCCACAAGGCAACATCGAGGAACGCTTCGATGCATTGACTGGCATGTACCGTGGTTGGTGCAATCGTACCAAACGCCGTTGTCATGTCCTCAAGCTTTCGAAAGAGCTTCTACAGTGGAACACGTTGCGAGACTATCCAACTGGCAGTTGGCATAAAGGTGCATTGTCTACTGTCCTCATGGACTTTGTCGAGTGGCGATTCAAGAATGAGCGCTTTGACAACGAGCCATTGCTAGTGAAAGCGATGGAGGCTTGCTTCGCCATACAAGCGGCAATACGTGGAATGTATATGGGTGATCTTTTTCTGAGTCATCAAGAGAGTTTGCACATTGGCCAAAACGGCTTGAAGTTTCTCAGGCGCTACGCAGACTTAGCAGCAGATGCAGCGAGTCAAGGACGCAACCACTTCATTCTTCAGCCGAAGATACATATCCTGCACCACTGGATGGTTGATCTGCACAAAGCTGGGGAGGAAGGCCGAGTTGCTCTTAATCCAATTGGCACAAGCTGCCAGCAGAACGAAGACTTTATTGGCCGTGGCTCCCGACTAAGTCGGAAAGTTACGGCCAGAGGCCCTGTTTTACACCGTGTTTTAGACAGGTATCTTCAAGCAGCATATGCCAAGTGGATTGACTGTAAGTATTTGGTGAGGCCGGGGTGATACCCTAGTGTGTTGAACTTTACCGGACCAATGTGCATATATTGCACATGTTGATGTTATTGTTCATGCATATTGTAATGCCAAACAGCTCATCGATGTCACCCAGGCAACACCCAAACAGCCATGGTACAAATCTCAAGGATTTGTAGCCACCGATCGCTAACTGAAAGAGCTCTGGAGTCAAAAGCAACAAAACCATCTAAACTCACATTGTCAATACCTCGGGTTTGCATTTGAGACCTCGGGTTTGCACATCCACCCTTTCTTTTTAAAGGTTATGGGCTGGACAGGTATATTAAGATTTTGCCAATCCCTTCGGAACGTTTTCGCGGCTGCATGTGTTGCTTTCGCCGATCCACGTCACCCAAAAACCCCTTTCGCTAACCCTTTCGCCGAGTTTCGGCTACTTACACCTAAGAAAAGTATCAGCACAAGGGGAATCATTCCTAGTTTGCAACCACTGCTTTCGCCGTATCTTCGCGAACCTTTTTCCAACCTTTTGCCTGGTTATCAGAAATCTTTGGGGCTTTAGTAGAACAAACATTTAGATGACATGCTTTGTACTGAAAACCTCGGTTGCCAACCCTTTCACCACAAATCAATTTATCAAACATTCAGAGCCTTTCTCCAAACAATTCGCCAAGCTTTCCCCAACTGCAGTTTTCCTTTCAAAAAATTTCACATCCTTAAGTCCTAGCCCTAGCTAAATCAATTACATAGCGGTTTATGATGTTGCTCAATTTGGCCCCATATGCCTTGGCACCTAGTTCACAGGCAGGTCAGGTTGACTTGGCTATGCTTTGCAGGCTCATCTGGTTGTCTGTTGACACCGCCCCTTAAAGGCATGGGATGGCATGGACATTGGAGCTTAGGCAATCGTTTTTGAAGCCAAAGCAAGCAACCCAGTACCATGACTCAGCTCAGTATTATATAGAATATGACTCCAAACTCAATGTTGCATGACGCATCAATGTATATCAATGTATTTAGGTGTGTAATAAAACAGAGGGGCATCTATCATTGTAATCCCCGCGATGGTATTCTATACTTGAAGCAAGTTGACATGTGTGTCCTAGTGTTGTCCACAGACCGATTTACCTCATCTGTTGTCTCCCCGCTTCTCCCAAGACTGCTCGCTGCTAAGACGTGGCCCGTCCATTGCACCTCCCAATGCCGAGCTGCAAACAACCCACATGCCGAGCTCTTTCGTGACCACACACTGAAATAAAGGGGTCATTTCAAATCTGGAATAGCTCACTCATGAACTGAGTGTCTTAGAGTTTCTGGAATTGCTCATTCATACTCACTGCGTGTCTTTTCTCCTTTGGGGAGTTGTCAGAAAATTTGTGAACTACTTGCATCGACTAGGGAACTCAAAATTTTGATATGACCCCCTAGCACTTGGTTGCTGGATGTGCTTCTGTGGAATGAAGCCTCTGGCCAAATGATGCCAAAATGCGTTGTTGGTCCGCAAGTTCTCTCTATACGGCCGAAATCGGAACCTTTTTGGATCAGAAACACAATGGTCGAAAAGAAAGAATAGGATCTTGCATGGATAAACATGCATGCCTTGATATACGTAGCCCTGTCTGAAATGAAGACATATTATCTCATCAAGGTACCTGTGCTTCAAAATGTCAATACATACTCCAAGACCAGTAGATAAAAACAGTTTCTTTGCCAACTGGTTACCTGTTGGATAGGAAACCCCTCCACGGGGTGAAACTGAGTTCGCTCTTCGGATCGGGACATGGTGGGACGAGTCCAAGGTTGCTGAACTCACGCAACTGAGGATGACCTACGTGCAAGCAACGTGGTCTGGTTTGTTGGTATTGTGTTTGTTTCTTCCAAACAACCATTGTTCTACCAAGGATTTTACACTAACCAGGTCAATGTTTTTCGTTCCATGCAAAGAAAAACACATCGAAGTGGACAATCCCCTTTTGTAGAGAAAACATGTCTTTCCAGGGGCCATGCCATCCACTTCAATTCATTACTTCAGGGAGTGTAGGCCGAGACCACCGGGTGATTGAGAGACGGATTTGTACTCGAGTGTCTTCGTACCCAGGCCATAATGTCCAAAAGCACCATCAAAACCCTTTGGAATTGCTGGTATTTGGGTTATAATAGTTATATGTAGTTATTTTTTCGACTCCAAAAATCTCAACACAAATAAACACTAAGCCGCTAAGCCGTTGTTTCAGGCCAAAAAGCAAGTCCAAACAATGTGCCAAAAGGAATTGTTGGTGGCTTTGCAAGTTGTAGGATTGTAGGTCACTCTCCCAGTTGCATGGAAGATTCGGGATGAATCAAAAGACCTCCGCCGCCAGCACCAGCGAATAGCCAAGATACTAGGAATCAGTGATGATCGTGTGTGTGTGTGTGTGTGTTAGTCAAACGGAAAAATATACTAGACCAAAACCCATTGCGCCAGGAGGGGTCTCCCTTGAAACCAATGCACACCCAAAATATACCAACATGGTTACAAGATGTTTCAAGAATCGCAAGAATTAACCCTTAAGGTCAATCAACCAAATCAACCATTAAGGCATATTTAGGCCAATCCCCAAATCAACGTCTTGCTTTACAAACCAATACTTGGCCTTAATTATCTTAGATTCCACTGTCGCCCGCGTTTTTGTGGGCAAAACTACTAACACCGTTGGCGCCATAGGACCTCCCATCTTACGGGAGGGCCAGGCCGCCATCACTCCTGTGAAGTTGCATTGCACGCTATCCGTCCGACTCACTTATGTTTTTTGTGCCAAATAAATTTTAGAGTCACGAGTCCACGTGTCATTTATCTAATCTACGAGTATTTTCACTACGATCTTGGAACAACACTTGTATGACCTTCAAGCAAGACTTGAAGAGTTAGGATTTGACCTTCAAGATACAGAAGTCACCACCAAATCCCTGAATTCAACCATTGTCTTGATGATCTTAACCAAACAACCAGCTGTTTTGCTAAGGAGTTTACAATTTGTTACACTACAAAACCAGGTCTGTCCCGATATTCTTTGAATGGTCGTTCTCGGTTTCGGCGAATGGGATGTAAGTCAAGTCACCAAAATTGACTCAACTCTGGACGCCAGGCTTTGCACGGCTTTGTTTTCTGCAGCTGTGATCCGATCAATATGTGGTGGTTACAGCCATCCGTCTCAGTACGAGGACAAGCTGGATGCGAGACACTTGGAGAAATGTGAGAGTATATTAGATGATCATATTCATCTCAACAAGAAAATGACATACATTGAACTGATCAGCGGCGTAAGGTGCTTCGGCAAGGCACATCCATTCTTCGTCTATGATCCATGGAGCTCCACCACGCTCTGCGCGGGAGCACAAAAACTGGGCTGCACCAGAAGGGCGCACAATCTGCGCTTGATCGGGCGCAGGGTAATGACCAAGAATATAGTCAGTTCTGCAGGGTCCCTGCTTGGTGCACTCAAGTGGTGGCCCTCCTTCCACGGGTGCCCTGTCACATGTCGCAGATCTAGTCTCATATCCGAAAACCAATGTGACCCTTCCCGACCAAAGACTTTCGTAAAGGATCTGGTCCATGGTGAGAAGCTGCTGAGAGAGGTACCTGGTACCCCTACGGCCCACTTTTGGGAGGTACCACCCGAGACCAATGCGTCATCATCTAAGAACTCAGAGTGAGGGCTCAAGACGACATGGTTGTTTGAAGCGAAACATGGTGGTCCTTGCTGGGCCCTAATTAGCTGGATCACTCCAAAGAACTTTCTATGTGAGTTTTCCAAAAGAAAACTCGAAGCCTCGCAGCAACTGACTCTGCCCCCTATCTCAAGCAAGCCAGGGGAAAGGAAGTAGCTCTTCAGAAGTCTGCGACATCTCAGCATATGAAGCCGTCCAACACACCTCCAAACGAGTATCAGTATGTTTTCTTTAGTCTCTGCCATCAGTCCCACCTTCCAAAGTACCCGAACAAACATGAGACATGACAAAACACAGAAACAAGAACACTCATAATAGACTTACAGTATTCTAATTTACTTGTACCAATTTTCCAAGGTCCCAAGTCCAGGTCCGCTCCAGCTCGATCCGTCCTTCTCTGTCGTCAACTTCCATGTCCACTTATGGCTTGCAGGTCGCAGGTCGCACCGACCACCAGGTCGACCGTTCCCGCGGCCCGCCATGCGGTCCGGTACAAGGGAAAAGAAGGCCCAGCAAGTGATGATGGTTCCAGGTTGGATCTCAGTATCCTGGTATACGAAATACTGGGGGCACCGAACGGCACTTGGCTACGCAATGTCAACGACCCTTTCCCTGTCGAAAAATCAAAGAACCCTTCATGTCTCTAAGCATCTCGAAACCAATCAATATTTATTAACTATAAGACTTAAGTGGCTTTTCTCTGGTGTTTCCAAACGAAACCATCTCCATCTACGTACGAAACCAGTCTTCAAGTCGATCCATCAGGCTTCCAACACGTGGCCGGTCGCATGGCGGGTTCCGAAGCGTTCCGCCGGTCACCTCGGAGCGGAAACGGGTCGAGTCCGGTCCGAGGCCGGTCCGAGGCCGGGGGCCGGAAGAAGCAGTTGCAAGTGATGTGTTTGTTTAATGCTTTTTTTTGACTATAGATCAGTGGGTCGGGAGCTTTGCGAATTAATCAATATTAATCACAATAGCTTGTCATGCAACATGTCTCAAAATGTGTCAAAGCATGCAACCTTGCGTCACACAAGGCGTCCCAGATACTTCGCAAGTACCCCAATCAACTCCTGAGATAGTACACCTGTTCTAAAATGCTTCGCCACCTATGTCTCATCAGCTGAAAAGTACACTAGGCCTCAAAGAAAGGCGATCCTCCTCTTTGTTCTTGTCAGCAGTGTCAACATCCTTTATTGCATTGTCTGCTATCGATGTCTCGTCATTGGTCTTTTCTTTAACTCACAAACTTATCTTTGGTTGCACACGCCACACCTAGCAAGGTACGAGTACCCGTAACATCGTCAAAGCATAGTGCATCGTTAATCGTGGACCTGAATTTGCTGAATGAAGCGTCTAGCGTTCCGCTTGCAAATGTTTACAAATCGAAAATTCTCAGTGGCAAGCATGATGTTTGCTGCATGCTATACCCAAGCGGCCAGACACCTACGGCCGCACACCCAAGATTTCACCCTCACTTGGAAGCAATCAGCTACCAGAACCAAGCTCCAACTTGATGTCAGTTGTCTGAGAAGGAGTTCTGTTCTGAGCTAAGGCGTGAGTCCAGGCATACCTTAGTTCCATACGATTGTCACCCTGGCAGCCTGGCAAGCAAGTTGATCTCAACATCAAATTGGTGTCTGAATGGATCCATTTGGTGGGGCGCCTTTTCCTTATCACTGAGTCAAATTGAAACCACATGACCGATTTTCCATAGCGCCTGACATTCCTCACCCACCCCCCGCACGAACGCGGCGCCTGAGCTGCAGCGTGGGCAGCTCTGAGCCGCTGGTGGCCTGGCGCTTCTTTCGCCCTTCGGCACAAGAAAGGTAGAGGTGGCCCTGATCCGTGCTCAGCCCAAAAGTTGCAATGATGTCCATGGGATCATAGAGGGGGTGATTTGCGATCTATTGGTTGATGAACCAACCAATGGTAAAAGGGCATCCATGTGAGCGTTCCCCCCACAGCGTTCTTGAGTCTCACCCTTTTCCCCCCAATTATACAATCCATATGTGAAAGAGTGAAAACCCATGTTCCACCCGGAAAGAACATCCCGTGTAGATGGAGGGTATCCCTATTCAACCTCAATGTTGATACATGATCACATCATTAGGACCCCCCGGTATTTGTTCTTCTTTTCAATCTTCTTGACCCTATATCTTGCCACAGGTCTTTCACATGACATGGTTTTGTCGTTTAGCCTCATACGTTGCCACAGGTCTTGCACATGGTTTTGCCGTTTAACCGCGTACTTTGCCACAGGTTTTGCACATGGCTTTGCCGCTTGATCGCACACTTTGCCACAGGTTTTGCACATAGTTTGCTGTTTTTAGCTAGTCTTAACCGCGTACTTTGCCACAGGTTTTGCACCTGTTTTTAAGCTTTTTGACCGCTACCTTCGCCACATGTTTTGCACGTGGTTTTCTGATTCTGGACCCGAAAAGTAAAAATCAGTTCTTAAACTAAAGTGCCGATCTCAACGCCTAACTACCGCCTTTCAAAGAACCATCTGGCCAATTTGTCCAAAATAACCTCTCCACTTAGTAAGGTCCACCTTCTTGGCACCCCAACAAATCAGACAATCATGCAATGAAGATATTGGGATCTCTCCTCATGAGTGACCCCCTAATCAACATAGCTTCACACATGTTTGTGTGCCCAGACATGTTTGTGTGCCCAAACCTTCCAACCTTGTAGGAAGGATGTTGATCACGAGTTCGAATTCACATTCATTACTCCCTAAGGATCCAAGTACCCTCCTGAGAAGGTGGGACTGGGGTGGGTGCCAGGAGGGTCCAAGTACCTCCACTTAGGAGGTACGACTGGAGCCCTAGGGACTCATAGAACCGTGCCAGACAAGTACCACAACTGCCAGGCAGGCAAGTTGGTGACCACCCCAAACTGCGAAGTCCTCAGGTTCTATTACAATGGTTTCAGAGTAGATGGCACCATCTCCAAGAGATGGTTTATATGAACCCCCATCCAAAAAGACATCTTTTGGGTTTGTGCGATCTACTCTGAAACCACTGCCAATCAGCCACATGTTGGCGGTAGAGTACTCTGTGAATCTCACAAAAGCGGCGGGGAAGCAAACCACGAAGTCGCACAGGGTGCCCTAGTTCACTGCAAAAAATCATATCAAGTCCGGGTGTGGACAAACAGTATGTAGTTCGCTCTTGCACCTTAGTCCCCCTCCTCCAACCTCAGGTGCACAGGTGCACGAGGCCAATACATCAAGACCATTCAAGACCTGAAGCAAGAATCACCCGCCGCCTGTGTTGTTTGTGCTTGTGGGCCAGGTGCTGGAGAAGCGCAAAGGGACACGTCCTCACCCCATCCTCGGTAGCACAGTAGGGCTAAAGATCATTTTCTGGTGTCACATCGTTCGGATCCCTGGGTTGCAAACTCCCTGTCCCGTTCGAGGAGAGTACAGGTCAAAAATGTCTTAGAACAATTTCAGGCTGACTAGTTAGTTGAATTCAAATCATTTCTATATGCACACACAAACACGTATTTCTTCTGTAAAAACAACACGCCCCTTGGAGCATTCGTTGCATCTCGATCAGAGAAAATGTTGAGAAGCCCATGGATCAACGGATGCCCGGAACCGCGTCCCATGAATCTCTTTCAGCTGGGTGACCATCATGAGCCGCACGTCTTTCCAAGGGATTCCTGCAAGCTGAGTTGGACGGCGCTGAGTCTCTTGAGGTATCTCATTCATCAATGAGTGGCCAATGCACTGTAGCGTTTCATCTCAACAGTACCGAACATGATACAAATCATGGCACCAGCAAACAAACACACACTCAACATCGTCCTCAACAGTTCCAGGAGCGCGGTGGGTTGTTCGCTGGGCGGATGCCCCGGGTGATTCGCCCCGGGTGCAGGATGCGACCGACTTTCAAACCACCCTGAGTCCACATGGAATTCCGTCCACAGGATCACCCGAACTTGGATTGGAGCCCCAAAACTACGACGATCGATGGAACACCAAGCTCCATACTCAAACATGGGACTGGGGACTGGCCAGAAATTCGACCGGGCGAGTGACTAGTGGCAATGAGTGGAAGCCCTGTCACTAGCCCTGTCTAGTCGACATGAACCTGAGACTTCACCTGTGGGATGGTGCGACCCCGGAAACTTCACCCGGACAGGACACTTCTTCTGGAGGCCTTCACCGCATCTAAATGCCTTCAAACGCAGCGAAACGCTTCGCGTCGCGTCGCGTCGCGCGTTGCCTGCTTCGCTTCGCTCGACTCCGCTGCGGCATCGCACCGCAGCGCGGCGCGCGGTCGACGCGCGGACCTAAACATCAACGAGTTCTCGGTGCCCTGCCGGGGCCAGGCCTTGGGGCGAGGCAAATAGCCCCCCGGCCGGTGTTGTGGGGTGGGTTCGGAGAATCGAGCAGTCTCACAGTCTACCGGGCCAGGGGATCTTCCTATATATAGTTAACATATGGGGTCTAGTCTATTCATTCTATTGGTTTCAGTGAAGGATTCCCATTATCGCATTGCTTCGAAGAGCAACGATATAATTAATGAGGTTGGGTATGGTTGGGTCAGTCCCATCCCAAGAGCGGATAACGTTTTAAGTTCAGTTCCAGGTGTTTCCAACGAACATATCGTGGTACCGGTTGTTGCTTGTTACCGGTTCTTGCTGGGTTCACACCCTAGTCGATACCGGGACCCTGCGTTACCTCAGAAACGAACCGGTTCATGTCCGGGTCCAGGTGCCCGCCGATTCCAACAACCTTTGGTCTATACACCACAAAACGGGGTCAACCGATTGAACAAGGGTCCTGGAAGGCAAGGGATGGCAAGGGTACATGTGCAAAAAATAGAAAATAACATGTTGATGCAATCAGGATGATCATTTTGAGTCATGATCCGACTTACGATCTGGTGGGGCGGTGCACAAGGTTTGTCGGAGCTGATCACCCTGTCTGATCTTTCCTTGTCTGTCCTTGACCACCCAGGCCGGACAAAATCCTTGTCCAAGCATTCCATGTACGGCAGATTTACCGAAACAACCACCCGCATGGTGCATTGATCCATCCATGTATCGCATGTATATGGTACATTGATCCCGTTTAAACCACTCCGAATGTGGGCCACATATGCCAGTCCCAAACAGGTCGGTCGTGGCTCTCGCTTGGGATCGACCCCACCTTTTAGACTGAAACCGAGAAAATCTGTCCAAGGCAACTGGGCCCCCAGAACAGACGAATGGGACTGGAATAGGCCCATTCATTTACCACATGAAAATGGCCTATGAAAATGTAGGAAACTCTTAAGATGGATGGTCTGGGTTCTACAAAAACATGTCCTCCGCTTTTCCTGGTTCCATAAACAAACTAAAACAGTCACCCGCGAAGAACCGGTGGGGCATCGTTCATGTGTTCGAGGCAGGAAAGAACAAAAGAAACCCCTTCCTGCTTCGGGTGGCAAAAACATGTGGATTTTGATGTATATACCAGCACCCTCCAACAGGCTGTTAGTTGAGGGTTGTTAGACCCTAACAGGTCTCAATTGGTGGCCTGTCGGAGGGTCCTGGTATTTATATCTTTTCTTGAGGAGCCTCGTTTCAGTTTAGATTGCTTTTCATGATCACGTTTGAGCACAGGAAGGCATAGAAACACCATGTGCCTTCCAAACTACAAATTTGCTGATTCACAGCTGCATTAAGACCACAGCTCACAAATTCCCACGAAAACAATGAAAGCACTCACTCTTCCCTGGCCAGTGTTCCAACCTTGTGCTTAGGGAGGAAACCAATATATACCAATAACAACATGTTATAATATAACATGCCCCTCTCCTCAGCACATACTGACGGTCAACAGATCCTATATTGACCCTGTGAGTCCAGTTCGCCATTGATAGGGAACATCCCCAGTTCCTCACCACACTTATGGTTAGTTGTCACTAATCACCTGTTTCTGAACAATTACACTAAAACTGAAACGGACAAAATAACTGGACTTCCCAACTCCCGGACTCCCAGACACTCCCATACATATGATACATGCATTATATGTAATATATATGCAACATTATTTTTTCACACTGACCCAACATATTGATATGATGGATTTCCGGGGTTCTGGGCGGGAGCTTTCTCACTCACAGTCCCTATGATGTCCCATGATTTCCATGTCAGTCTCCATCAGCCGAGCAGCTCCTTTTCTTGGGCTAGTGGTGCACTCAGCCCAAGGCCCACGGGGCGTCGCGCCGCGGACCGGAATGCTTGGCATCCTGGTGCGCCGCTGTGAACGGCGACGCGAAGTGGTGGTTGGGGTAACACGCCGCTGAAAGCAATGAATCGGTTTGGTGCGTTGGGGTTTCGGTGCGTTTGGGGGGTCTTTCTTCGTCCCCTTCTTTTCGGATGTGCCGGAGGGTCGGACAGCCCGCCAGGGTCACACAAGAGAGCCCGGGCGTGAAACCGAAGAAACGCGTGTCCCCATGGTCCTGTGCGCATGGGGTACCAAGCGCTTGCTGCGCGGTGAGGCCTTGCAAGTCAGGGAGATGAGCCGGACAAAAATGACCGGAAAGCATCAATTGATGTACGTAATTACTCCGGGCCAGTTATATATAAACATAGACCACCACCTGCTTGTGAAGGAAAATGTTCTGCCTGACAGTCATCCACGTTCACAAACGGGCTGTTCGGTGTGGACGTGTAGCCATAATATTTGGGATCTTCAGGTTTCAGATGCGTTCCTTGGGTATGCAGTAGTGAGTTGATGCTCAGTAGCAAGCAGTCTCATAGAGTTCTACAGACGATCAAGACCTCAAGAGTGCTTAACAAAGCATGGCAACAGATTGGACAGTACTCGAAGGAGATTGCATTCCCAGCCAAAGTCACGGTACTCGAATGCCGTGCACGTCCACTTCTGCTGCTTCATGTTGTCAGTGAATTTTGCTCTTCCATTGCAGTGCTCCAAGTTGAGTGCCTCGTGTTGCAATGCCACTTTCAACATTTCCCTGTACCAACTCTTGAGACGTCAAGCTATAGGATCCTGGAATAAATGGGCCGATCCATCGTAGAGCGATCTTGTTGAACCCTCCAAGATCGGGATGGCTGCCCTACAGCCGGTCGAGGAGCTCCACGGGCATGCTCTCAAGCTTTACACGGCGGCTCCAAGCACTGTGTCTTTCAAGCACAGGAAAGTCAGAAGAAAAGATCATGGTCCACCTTACCGAGGTTTCCCTGGCGCCTGCCACGAACAGTCATCACCAAGTCCGAAAATGAGCACCCGCGCCAGCCCACCAGATTCTGCGCCTGCGCAGTCGAAATGCACTTTGAAGATCTCGAGGTGAATGAAAGCACTGTAAATAACAAAGAATGAGCTGGACCCGGCTGCGAGCACCTTGATCAGACACCCATCCTCAACAGTTGCCGCAAGAACCCCTAGTGTGGACACACAGCTTGGGGAAAAAAACTGGTGACTCTGACTCACTCGTTGGGTTCTGTGGGAGGCCTTTTGATGTGGTGCCAGATCTGAGAAGGCTCAGCCTCTAAGCAAGAAAGTTTCTTCACTCCCAATATTTTCATGCTACAAACACATATTGCTATATATATATATTCAGTATCATACATATATACTTCATACATGTAAATATATCTACATTCTACATGCCTTTCTCATAGGTTTTCCATAGCTTCTTCACTTTCCATCCAAAAGAAACCACATCCGCTCCACAACCCCCTCACCGAGGCACCGGAACTCCGGAGACGAGATTCGGCAGGCCGGGCACGGGATCAAAGCCTCGGAAAAACACAAGGCTCGACCCATCAAACCACCCTAAATATATATATATGATAGTTACATGATAGTTACAGTACATGAAGTGCCTAGGCATGGATGTTGGGAAATCCCCATTTTGCCGGCACAAAATATAGAGAGAATGTGTTGTTGTTGTTGTTGTTGTTGTTGTTGTTGTTCTTCGGTTTACTGTGCAGTACCCAGTGGGTGTGTATGTTAATAGGGAGATGCCGCCTTTGACAAGGTTTAATTACTAAGGATCCCCATTTCATACTGGAAATCGTACTAGGGATCCAATGGGCCTCCGACAAAACCTGGTCTCATAGACAAACAGACTCATGAACAAATGATACAGGCAAAGCTAATCTCCTAAAGAATTCTGCCCAATGCAAATTGGCCATACGAGTACAATTACTCTTGAAAGAAATGCAGTCGGTCGACCTGTATGAAAGCATGTTTTCTGTCTTCACTGATGACGGATCAAGGGTGGTTGTACCAGCACCCTCCAGCAGGTCTCCTCTTTTTGGAGGGTTGTTGGGACTTAAGAGGTCTCAATTGGTGACCTGGCAGTGAGGGTGCTGGTATGGGTCTATCCGTCTTTTTGTTGGTGCTCAGGCCCTGGGCCTCTATTGGACGTGGATCCACGGGCGGCAGTCAGCGCCTTGTTGATGACCCACTGGCGAATGAAAACATGATTCTAGCCTTCTAGCTAGCTATTTCCCAGCATCATCGTGGTTGTGGAGGCCCCAAACAAAGAGTTTGGTAGTTTCCCATCGTTCTTCTAGGATCAAAAGCCAAAACCATGGAAAAGGTTCGAACGACCTCATTGTACTGAATGCAACTTGATCATTAAAAAAAAGAAACACTACTCAATGAGGTAGAGGGTCAGGTTTTACAATGTTTTACTGGGTCAGACTGGACCCGTAGGGCATGTTCAGTTTCTTCATGTTTCATGCAGCAGCGAAACAAACAAATCTCCGCCTTCCTTGGCCTCCATGCGTGTGGTCACCGGTGCTGTTGTGGGCCGAAGGAAGGTGCCTGAAATTCACCAGGAAGGGAGGAAATGAGACTTCAGGCAGCTTCATGCTTGGGCGAAGAGTTTTGGGCAGCAACAAGAGTTTGGGATTGAGGTCATACATGGTCATACCAGCAACAATGATTTGTGAAGAGGTTTCTGATGGTTTCCATCTAAAAGCTACCTTCTTCCTGCAAAGCTTGCATATCACCTCCATGCGGAGGTTCTTTGTTCACTTGAGTTGATCTGGTTGGAGCGGCAGCGCTTGTGTAGGTTACCCAGGTGGTGGCTCACAGGGTAAGGACCTTATACTGACTGTTTTGTGTTCAAATCGCATTAATAAGGTCCGAGGTTTAACATTATTGTGGATAGTTTACTAGTTTGGGGTCCCAAAATTGACCCAGGGGGGTTATTATTGTAATTATGCATATTTATGCACTTTCTGGTGATGCTACCTCAGTGGTGGAGTGGTGTTTTTATTTCTGTTCTGGAAGATTTGTTCAGAAGGGTGTGCGGCAATATAGCTGATAACTTCACACATCCAGATTCAGGATGACATTCACTGACTGACCATTACTATTGTTGATTGGTTGATGGAGAAACATGTGCAAGTATGCTTCTGGCTGTTGGACCAAATACAGCCAAACAGCGACAATGTTTCAACAGCGTGGACGCCTGCACAACCCTGGATCATCTTGACCCAAATTTAATCAGTACAGTAAATGGTAATGCTGCTATGCATGGGCAACAGGGGCTTCAGCGCAAACTAGATCCATTTTGCATGAACCAGATCTGCCGAACGGACAGATCGGCTTTCATTCTCCGGCTAACCCGACATCATCCGGATGGCTTGAAGTGGTTGGGGGCCAAGCCCGGAATTCACGAACTCAGCCTCGTGGGTGGACCTGCTTAAATCCCTGGCCCGGTGCCATGACCCGGATTGACCCGGTTGAAAGCACATGAAAGCACGAAACCAAGTTCGCTTGCTACCCTGTCAAGAAGCAGCCCAACCAGAAACAAACCCAAACTCCCAAAGTGACGGTCATGTCCCATGTTCCAGGGTACTTTGGAGAGACCAGGTAGTTATAAGATGTTATAAGTCTTTGCCCAAACAAGCAAACTGCGCAAACCTTCCCACTGCATGCCACCCCCCAATTCTTGCCAAACCAGAACAAAAACATACAAAAAACCCACCTCTGCGTTTCACCATCCCACCCGAAACCCACCACTTCCTGCCTGTCGTGGTGGAGGACTGATAGATGCTCTTGGCACTGCGCGGCGGTTCCACGGCCCATGTCCGCTCCACTTGCATCAGGCCGCCGGGTGCCAAGGGCGCGTCCCGGCGCTCCCGGACGGAGCAGAGCGGAGGAGCGGGGCGGAGGTCGTTTCGATTGCTTTCACCTTTTGGAGGGAAGAGGATCATCTGCAGTGTGGTGTCTCAGAGTCAGAAGGCCGAGGAATCATTGAGTGATGTGAAGTGTGAAAAGCAGAGAAGGTGTCTGGGGAAGAAAAAGACTCGTATTTGCTGCTACAGGTATACACCAGAATGGTTTGTTTGCAGTTTGCACTGCTAAGTTGCTGGCTTTGTGTGGATGACTTTGTCTTGTTGAGGTCCGGTCAATCAATCACTAAGGTGTATGAACTTAAACCGGTTAGCAAGTTGCTCTCTTCTTTTTCTCATATAGCGACTCCCTCAGTTTCCCTTGGGAATAAAAGGTTATAGTATAACCTTCTTCCATCTGATCAGATCTAGTACGTGGAGCGTCCCCAATCCCCAAAAAAGGTTCAAGGTCACTGATTGGGTAGGATACGGCTCGCCTAAGTGGGTCCTTGGTGACATCTGCGCTGAAAAAATGTCTGGCCAGCGGGAGAAGCGGGCACCTGTTCACTTCCAGTCCACCGTCATGGTTTCATTCACAGTCGCTTTCTTCAGTGGCAAGTGTCAGGGTGGGGAACTCGGACATGTTCGTCAAATCCCAACAAAGCAAAAAAAAGACCGTGTGGTTGTGAGTCCTTGATAGTCGTTGTGTCGCGTGACTAAGTTGTGAGATTCCGCACATGGTAGCACGGGAAATCACCTGAAACAACCATACCAGCACCCGACTCTACAGGTCTCCTCTAGAGGGTTGTTGGGATTCAAATAGGTCTCAATTTGTGACCTGGATGGTGCTGGTATAGGTTATGGGACCCCCCACGGACACCCTTCCCCCTCGAGCACCCCGTGACCGATCTGGCGGGTGTCGAATGCACTAAACCAGCTACAGCACGGAAGTGGTGTTGAATGGTGAAGACCCTCATGGATTGTCCAGGCTTCCAGGGACAACATTCTAGAAACTGTTTCATGGATTCGCCCAAACACCGACCTTTTATACTCTGAGAAACGGACATGATACTCTATAGTGTACACGTCCATGTTTGTTTTGGGGATATGGGTGAAGCTACTTACTCTGAGGGGCCTTGGCCGCCACGTAGCCCTAGCCTTCCAACTACCATTGATTTATTTGTGCCAAACCACCATTGTTTTTTGTTTTTGCCAAGTAAACTTACTACATAGTAAACCAGGTCGAAACCAGGTTTTACGAAGTAACCTTATACTACAAACCAGGTGGCCAACCATTTTAAGTCTAAGGACCGGCGTGGACTCCCAGGACCCATGACGCCGACCGGGTCGAGGAGCCCGCGAGAGTTGGTGAAGAAAACGCCTTCGTTTTGTTCTGAAGAACCATGGAATCATGTCTGTTATATACTCTATAGATTATATAATAAACCCAAAGAGTACATTAGACATGATTATGATGTACCCAAGAAGAGGTTCTTCAATCCACATGTGGGGGGGGGTTCCTCAAGAGTCGACCAGTCTGTAGATCTGATCACAACTCAGCCACCGCCATCACTTGCCTCCGGGCAATTCTGTCCGGTGATGCAGCTACGATGAGACAAGATGGGCTGAGTCCAGAGTTCACACCTGACCGCTGGGCTGGGCTGCTGACCGCTGGGCCGCTTTCGATCCGGACAAAGGTGGGAGACACTCTCGCAGTCGAAGTCCCCTAGGACTCCTGGCCCACCTCCGTTTCGAAGGTGGGACTGGGGTGGGTCTGGGTCTAACTACGTTCTGAGGAGGTGGTTGGAGCCCTAGGGTTCAACAAGTGACCGTCAAAGAGAATGTAAATGTGTGAAACACGCACTGTGTCCCTTTAGCCAAGATGAGTGAGACATCCATCCTTCAACCACTTCAACCACTGGGGCCTGAGTGCTATCTTTCGTGTTGTCAAACAAGGACTCGTGCCTAGACTGCGAGAAAACATCTCAGTCTTCTGGGGATTTCTTGCATTTCTTGCTGCACGTTTGAGTGCCGTTGTCACTCGACCTTGGAGGCCGGCAAATACCGCCGGCTCCGTTCCTTGAACAGGAAGAACCACGACATCAAGGGCGTTAAGGGCAGAACCCAAAGGTCATGACGGCAGGGCCGTGGCGGAGAGCCTTCGGACTAACATGGACTAACGTTTTGGGATCTTTGGGGCCGGACCTGAGCCATGTTGCCACGGAGCCATGCGGAGCCGGAACGCCGAAGGCCGCAGGACGAACACCTGACCTCTGCGATCTCCGGTTCAGTCAGCGGAGGATGTTCTGCAGAGGTCAGGCGAAGCGTTCGACGTTTCGATATTCGATGTCATGGTGTTCCAAGGGGCCATGCCATCCACTTCCATGTGAGTTCCCGAGCGTCCACGGGCCTCCCTGGGTTCCAATGAGTGGCTGGGTTCTGCCAACACTGTTCGTTGGAATGCCGTGCTATTGGGATCCACCTCTGGGTGTTTTTCTGCGGCTCGCTGTTGGATGTCCTTCGGTTCACAAGTGATTCATCGGCTGGGTCGTAGGGAAAGCTCAGTTGGAGCAGCTGTTTTCGTCACCCCCTTGGACCGGTCCATCACCCCCCCCAAACACCGCACCGGTGCGTCTCGGTGTTGTACTCCACACCCTTGCAGTCCTGCGAGAGTGTGAAACAACTGAAAGTCATTGGGTAGATCCTGCACATTCCTGCACATCCTGGTTGTTGGAATCTTTCAAATCACATCCTGGATCATTGTGGTGGTGAAACTCCTGTGAAGCTGACAATCACCAAATCCTGGCGCTTGACATGGTTTGTTCTACAGTGTACTGTAGATTCTCGAAGCAATGTCGGCCGTGAGGGTTAAATAGCAGGATTGAGCAGTGCAGATTCCTGTTGGGCAACAATGGTTGTAAGGAGAGCGGCTCCAAGGCCACTTGCGCCTTGCAACTGGCCATAGTCACAGTCTTAATCAAGCAAGCAACCTCGTACTACTGGTGAAACATGGTGAAACCCAATCCATGCAACATGTCTGAAAACTGTGCCATCTCAAGAGGCAGGGCAAAAACCGATCGATCAACTATAACGCTTCACCTGCAACGCTGCCGCAAAGGCAAAAACATTGCCACAACCTTTTATATATAACATCTTTTAAACATGGAGTGTATGATTTATCAAAATCTGTCCAAACTCTCATGGACCCAAATCCATCCAAATCCTCTGGAGACATGTCGGACCTGAATCCATCTGGGATGGTCATGGGCTTTCTGACCAATCCTGAGCTCTTGGGGTGACCGGGCATTGTTCGGCGTGCACGGAGCGTGGAGCGCGGAACGGGTGACGAGCGATCCAACGCGACAGCCCGCGATCCATCGCGGGCCGGTCCCCGTGGTGTTGGCAAAGCTGTTTGCAGGCGGACAAGCTGGTGGCGTTGGTGACGTTGGCGGTTTCATTGCCTTGGTGGCCGAGGGCAGGCGAACCTGAAGCTGGAGAAATGGGGGCGGCTTTCAGGTCTCTCGAACAGACTGCAAGGTGACCTGGGGTCTTATTGACCCCTTTGGCCAAAGCGACCTCATCCGATCGCAAAGCGTCGCAGGACGCGTCACGTGTGAAAATCCTGGTTCTTGGGCACAGTCTGTTTCGCGGGTCTTTTTCTCTGGTGGCTGAAGAGAAAACATGCGATGAAGATGGCCCATGGCAAAACACATAGACAGTTTTTGGAGTATCTATTTTTCCAGCGAAAGATCCACTCATCTAGGACCTAGGAGTTTATCTTCATACAGAACAACATATGAAGATGAAGGTTCGGCGAATTCACAGCTGAATGTCTGTGTCCAACTTTCCCACACGGTCGAGAGAAAACACGCTGACTTGGAAAATACAAAAGTTCACGATCTCTGGAGAACTGGGCAAAGGAAGCTGCAAGCTGAAAATATCGTTATTAAATATTCATAGATCGATATACATAGTACATCCGTATTGCCCAGTCCGCTACTTTTCTTGTTGTCTACTCTGAGCGAAGATGTTGGAATATTTCCTCCGTTGCCGTTGCGACCACGGTGCCGTTGTTGGTGTCATCCGTCGCAGAGAGCCGACATACCTCGCATGGTCGAGTAGACAGTGGTAATCGACTGGGTTCCTTTCTGTGCTGTGAGTTGTGATTTGGACCCACAGCCAAATGAGAAGAACACATGGAATATGTAGTTCCCTCTGAAACAACCTGAGCGTTCTAATATGACGATCATGAAGACATGATGCAACATGGTAGTAGCATGTATAGTTACCACAACCAAGGCAGGAAGACATGAATTGCCATGGACATTGAACATTATATAGTGACGAACACACCAGCACTTCATATTCATGTAGAACTGTAGAAAACGCCATAATTATTTATACTTGAGAGAGGAGGGGGTGAACGAAAGGTAGCAGGCAATCACAAGCAACCCTGGTAAAAGTCCATGACGGCGTGAACCGGCGGAGGGGGGATTTGATCCAGGGGGGGGCCACGGGGGCCCCCCCCGAACAGAATCAACTCTTACAGGACCAAACTCAATGCACAATCCCAACTCCTGATTGTAATGCATTTTTGCTAAAGCAAGGAGAACTCAGGTAGCTCAAGCTACCTTTCGTGATAAGCTGTAATTCACCGGGAGTGGGTGCAAAGAGGTATGACATGCGGCCATAGCTCTCCGGCCTGCTGAACATCAAAAGTTCCCCAGAACCCGAAGCAGATTCCCCATGAACCCACACGATGAACCAATGCGAGATGAAACGACACACGGGCACGGTGTTGTTGCCACAGGAATGCCAAACGCAATCCTCCGTGACCACCTCAGGCTCGTTGGAGACCCCTCCACCCTCGATGGATGTGGGACCCGCTCGATGTCACGGATGGTGTGGGAAGCATCCCTCAAAACGATCCTCAGGCTGATCAGCAGTTCTTCATGAGGCCCCATAGCTTTCTCAACGGGAGAATCATGCTCGATCATATCAACATTGCATGTGTATACAGTAAATTTAAAATCGATGCAGCATCTTTGCGTACCAGTGCGCCTGAGGGGTGCTCGGTGAAAAGAAACACGCTTTACTCTACATTTGTTTACATCATCATCTTGATGGGTTCATGTGCTGGTTCAATGCCAGGAGATGAGTGAAACGACAGGGACACACACTTGAAGAGTCCAGCACCCATAACCTGAACACGACCCAAAAATCGAAGTCACAGGAGCATCATCCATGTCTGCATGTCTCCCACTATCACGGAGTTGTCTTATCATCAGGAAAGCGTATAGTCATACAACCAATGCCATCAATGGCTCGACATCTTCCTCACACGTGGACTACTTCGGCAGCTCCAGGCGACCACTCGTGGACATCGACCCGGCTGCGCCGCGCTCAGCGCTCTGGCGCGTCAGGAGGGGCGACCCCTTCCGCGCGTCTCTGGGCGACGCACCAGTGACTTCCCAGAACCGGTCTGACGACCAGTCTCCTCCACGCCGACCACCACGTCCTGCGGATTGGTGGACAATCTGACTCCCTGAGTTGGCCTGGGAGATTCGATTCACCTGTACTGTTCCTGTAAGGCCAGGAGCCCCGGGAGCCCCGTTCGTAGCGTCCTCTTGTTCCTAGTAGTAGGGCCAGGAGCCCCATATATAGTAGCTTCTTGTTCCTAATAGTGGGGTGTCCCCACTTTACCCCCAAAAACAAGTCAGGTGATCCACGTGAACCCGGTCGACCGGAACTTGCACACCGTGTCTGACACACTCAACCGATGTTTCTAGGAGAATCCGTACAGGGACTGACACCGAAGCACGGGGGGAACGCCCCTTCTCAGATTCTTCGGGATGAGGTGGCCAAAGGGGGGGGTGGTCAGGAATCATAGGGGGTTTGGACTCCTAAACTCTCCCTAGCGCTCCAACACCTGCTCAGAAGGTAGTTAGACCCCCCTAGTCCACCCCAACCGCCTTGTCAGGAGGTGGTTGGAGCCCTAGGTCCATGCTTGAGGGCCCGGATTCTTAGGGTGCTTCAACATAGCGTTCGACCAGGTTCTTCAGAACGACGCATTGGCTCAACTTCGACCCCTCGGTCGAGAAGACGCCCGATTGCATCAAGGGCTGCCCTGGCTGGTTCCATGTGTCCAACAACTGCAATATGAAACAATAATTAGAAATGTCTTTGGCCAAGTTTGCGTTCAAGCATAGCAACAACTGGGCAACATTAGTCCATCTAGGTGTGTCAATCAGTTCACAGTCATCAGTCCGTCCTTATTTTTAGACAGGTTGGCCAAACTAAGTGGATGTTTCCAGCAACAAGAAACACCCCAAGTGCTACGCTTGTTTTCCAGCGGCAGCACAACAAATTCTGGTGCGGTGGAGTGAGAGCAAACATCAACACCAGGTTCTGTTTTGTGTTTAATCTTGAATATGTTCTTGTATATATATATATATAATATGTATATATGTTTAAAATAGGAAGACCTCCCAAAAACTAGAAGAGACATAGACCAGGTCTACCCCTTGGTTGGTCCCATAAAACAAAAATACACACCCAAATAGGAACCACCTTGAAGAAGAACTGTACAGCCGCCAAGCACTCCACAGCCTGAAAACATTGCATGCCTAGCCAGCAGTCGGTAGGATGACAGGGGTGGGACAATTCTTGTGGCACTACGAACTAAACCTACGTAGCCTTCTGACTCTCTGCCGCGACTGTCTTAAAAGATCTGCTGTCTTGGACTTGGAGGGCAGTGCTCATCAAATTTCAACATGATCCAGCCATAAACATCCATAATTAGACAGCGTAAGTAAGACCCATATGGCCCATAGACACGCCGTCTTGACCAAGAGTATCTAGGTACCGGTAGAGACACATTGACTCATCTATATACTTGTCTGAAAGTTCGAATTGTCCAACCATTGATTGTGTTATCTTGTGTTGGTGTGTTGGTACGAATCACTAAATAGTCTTGAACCATTTGGGCATAGAGCTGCTGTAGACTTAGGACGTTACCTACCTCTAAGTCTCTATAGGTTCCTTTTTGGGGACCAGACCCCCTGGTGGATCCAGACAAACTGATAACCTATGGGTGTGTTCTTTAAGAATAGGGAGACCCACCAGTTCGACCCGAAAATCAACACAGGAAATCCATGGGTGGTTGGGAAGTCCCTTATTAACACCAAAAGGACTCCTGGTTCACTGGCACCTGAGAGCCAGGACTGTCCGGAGAGCCACGTCTAAACACTCATCAGCCGAGCTGGTCGTTGTCCAGTGTCTCCTGCTTGGTCGTGTCGTGCTCCTGAGCACAGTCAGTTAAATCATCAAACGGGGTGACGGTCAGTTGCCCCTGAGGCTAGAAGGATCTGGAAGGACACAGGAAGGATATAGAATCCGTCATCGCAATGGAGATTTACAGATGCAATATGGTTCAATCCTACAGGGTGTTCATCACTCTATGATTGTTTGGCGTCACTCTGCATACAGCTCCAATCTTCATTCTTTGGGCCCAAGCAGCGGCCCCAGTCTGATGGGGTTCTGCTTGGGGATGAAGATTGATGCCCTACCCAGAGGATCCCAGTTACCACTACAGTATATAAGGAACCAGGGTTTCCAGGTTTACGGCTTTAGTCTTTGGAACCACTGCTTACCAGCTACAGTGGTTTGCCTGGATGCCCTGGGCTACAGAGAAAAAGGACCTCTGAGGACTGAAGGACCTCTGAGGACTGAAGGCCCTCCCAAGACTCGAGCTTCTCCAGGGTCACTGCTTGGTCCAAATCCGCCCACATCAGAACCCAACTTCTCCAGGTCGCCCGCCTCGTTCTCCACCACCAAGCCATCTAATTGAAGCGAAGGCACCTGGCAAAATGCTGGGGCAATAGACCTCATCCTGAAGATCTTGATTCAACAGCAATGAATATGCCTCAACAAAGAGAATCTCCTCCCGAAGAACATGTTGTTCAGTCTATATATGTTCCTTTCTACAACCGTAAGATCATTGTTTCATTTTTGTCTGGATGTTTCAGGTTCTCAGTGTTTGAACACAAGAGCCACCACAGTCCACCATGACGGATCTGTGTTACATTGCTTTTGCAATATAATCGCAAAGTCAGAGATTTGGGGGCCTGGCACACCCCATTCAGAGATAGTGACACCTGCACCTACTTAGACTTAGTATTAGCGCTGGGGTGTTCCGAGCTACTACCGTGCACCGGTCCCTCCAAACATCCATAGCTTCCGAGGTGTTTGGGACCAAACAAAACTCATCGCGCCAACACGTGTCCAATCAAGGCATCTCCATCCGTGTGTGTCTAAACTAAGTCTAACTCAATAAACATAACACACAAAACATGGACATTATAAATGACAGGCAAAATTATGATGACATAGATTAAACAAACGACATCCAGTCTGAGGCTCGCTCTTGGCTTCCCTGGACTCCTATCACCAGGCTTTGAGGTTCGCCATGACCAAGCTAATCTGACTGGATGCCTGAATGGTCCTGGTCATGACCAAATGAAACGGGGCCTCTGTTCAGTACACACCTAGGTCACAGTTCAAAGGGTCACAAATCAGTACCCAGCAGCCCAGCATGGTGCTCACCGCGAGGTCGGCTGTTGAACGCCCTTAGACGACGGTATGGGATCGAGAGGTCAGGACATCCCAAAAAGGAAGGTCCAGGTGGGTCTCTGACCCCACGGGCTCAGAAGGGCTTTTGAACGGTGAAAAGGGACGGACGGCCCCGGGACGGCCTGATGAAGGGCCAGCTTAGCTTCAGAGAGGACCCCTAGCCACTCAAGAAAGATATGGATGAAAACATCCCGTTTTGGGGGCTCCAACGACCATTCTGCAGGTGCCGCTGGGGGTTTGGAGGGATCCAAGCTGTGCAACAATCGGAGCCTCTCCGCCCATCTGAAAACGCCTTGGACCATCAAACAAAATCTAATAAGACTATGAGGCCTAGAGATCAGGGACGCTTGCTTGGAGCCTCAGGCCCCATCTCTGCGCCAAGACAAACCCCCCCTGGCACCGTGGACCGCTGTCTTCGCAGGTGACCTGGCCAGGTTCGACCGTGACCCGAATCCGAATCGGGATTCGTCCAGAAAAGAAGCGGTTTCTTGGCTGTGCTTGTTTCGGAAGCCGGTGGAAAACAATATACATATTCCCAAGGTTTGGTGATTCTCCCAATTCGGGAAAATAGAGCATCACCGGACCATCTGTCCTCCTCTGCAAAACCAAGAGTTTCTTCCAACCAAGCAACAGGACAAGTTTCCCAGCACTACCCAGGAGATGGATGGTGATTGGATGGTAAATCATGGTCATAGGGGGGTTCTATAAACTAAAAGCCATTCGAACTGGGCGGTGCTGAGTCTTTTTCTTGGTGTGTGTGTGTTTCTGTTTGTGATTGGAAACTACAGAAAATGTCAGTGAAGGGCCTGGCCTCGTTTGTGGAAATTCCTGGTGCTATGGTTTCTCTTATCAGCCGGAGAGGATGATGTCCAACAATCACCAGGCAAGGAATTTTATAGAATGGACAAAATATTATATATATATAATAAATGGACGATGCCACATGCCACGGAAATGATCTAGACTGTAGAAAGTTCAAGGACCAACAGCAAGAACCATCCTGCAACAACAAACTGGCCAACGGGCAGAACTCTTGCATAGCACTTTACTCTCAAGTTCTCCCTTCTGTCTTCTCACCCAAAAACGGTTCGCCTCCATCTACTGCAAAGGTGAGGCTCACGAACCCGTTTACTTCAGGGCACGTAGGCCCAATCCTGGGGTTGCCTGGATCTTCAACTTCCAGGCTTGCTCATCTAAGACGGCCCCCAAGCTCAGTGTCCGGGTTCAAAAGGTTGTCTTCCTCCATGAGGCCTCCCTTGAATGGTCGAGTGCCGAGTGCCTGACAACTCCTCTCAATCTGGCTTTTTGTCAGCCAGTTCGTGGAGATGACTGAGTTCAGTGCTGATTTTCGCGATGGAGTGGTTGGATCTCCATGGAAGGGCTGCACCAGCTACATATCAATGGCACAGAATGGTGTTCCATGGTTCCTGAATGGTGGTATTCATCCAATCGAGCTCAGGCTCCAACGAAGGGTCTGAGGTTTGGGGATTCAACGCAAGGTCTGAGATTTGGAGCGTAGATGACTTGTCTTCGTGTGCAACATCTCTCCACCTGGTGAAGTAAAGTGGCCCAACAAATCATGTAGAACAATGTAGACTTGATCAATTGGAGCCGTCTGCCCGTCACCCCGAACCGAGCAGAGCCGGCCTCGGCTGCCTTTGCGTTCAGGTACTATCAGGTGGAGAGAGAGAAAGATCAAGACCAGAATGCCTGCCATCCACGGGGAATTTCTGTTCCGACTTATCACTTCTCCGTGTTTCTTCGGTGCGAGATGGCAAGGCAGCACGATTTCTGGGTTCATCGGGCTACTGAAATGGTGGTAACGGTGGTAAGAGTTACTGAAATTGCAAGCAAAACATATCAAACAATGGTCACGGCCAAGTTTCTACATGGGCATTGAGCGGCTGGGATGAAGTCAGTTCTTTGTGAGTCAATCTGCTAAGCCATCCCAGAATGAAAGTAAACACACATTAAACTAATCAACTTGCCAGATTGCAATGGTATTTTCTTGATTGAACAGATGCGGACTTAAACACCAAAAACACATCGAGAGCGAGGGCGAATCCCAAGTCGTGGAGGAAGGGTGCCGCCGACGTCGTTCGTTTACTCTGCTTGTTTTAAAGAATTGGAACGGCTTAACTTGGTTGGGTGAGAACTGACCTTGCAGCACTTCCAAGTCTTCCACAGAATGCACCAATTCTCAATGCGCCGAGAACGCTCCTTAAGGAAGCCTGTGATGGCTTAGCTATATATATATATATATAGTATAAATTATTTGGACAAATAGAGTACCTGACCTCCCTCTGGTTGGCATCGGCATGGGTGAGGCCTTCTTGTCTTGCGAAGTTAATATGGTATGCAATGAACCTTTTCAACACATTCTGGCCATTTATACATTGCTCTTTGAACTTTTTGCTCAGCAGGAGCTGGCGGCGGCATCCCATGAAATACTGAAACGGTGGCTATGACGGTCCATCTGGTTGCAGGAGGCCGCGGCAAGCACACGGTGCAGAGCCACGGTGGACACACCCTCAGAGCCACCCTTCACCCTGACCAAACCACCGGATTCCGGTGATGAAAGTCTCATCTATGAGAACTATAGTTTGTCTTTTTTTTCTGGGTGTTCTCTATGTTTCTCCAGATTTCCACCTATCTCCACCTGTGACCTGTCTGAGCACCCTAGCCAGAGATGGCATAGCACAACGTGGGAAGTGCCCGACTTTGCGGTGGCCTTCCTGACCAAGCGAACGAGGACGCGACCCGAACGAAAGCGAACGAGTGCGCCTGAAATGGTGGAGGTATTGTGTATGGACACCCTGATGATGTATTTGAACCCTCCAAACTCCAAACCCAGCCCAGTCCCACCTTCTCAGAAGGTACGACTGGAGCCCCTAGGGATATCTTTATATATATATATACCAGGAGTCACACAAGGGTGCCTTTTAGTGCCATCCAGTGAGTGGAGTAGCTGGGCACCCCGACTTCCTCCAAGTTCGGCACCCCGTCGAACGTGACTGCTGGTATATGTACCCTAAGAATCCGGGACCGAACCGAAGGGCGTCTTCACCCCGTCTTCACCCCCTGCACAGATCGGTGATCGGTCGAGAGTCATGCGTCAAACACGGCCCAGGGAGGGCGGGTCACATACCGTCTTGGTTCCATCTCAGAGTGTTCCAGAAACGCCTACACAAAGACTGCCAAAGAGTTCCCAAATGGCCTAGAAGATGCAAGAATACCACTAAAGATGCTAAAGAGTGGCCAAATGGCCAGAAGACATCCCAAATACTCTCACTCGCTTGAATCGAACTCCCATTGGCCCGCCTTCACGCTGCTCTCCTGGCACGTTCAACCACGCAGTATGGATCCACATATTTACCCTCTGAGAAGGTGATTGGAGACACTTTTACATGGGCATGGAGTCAAGTACCTTCTGAGAAGGTGTGGATCCCGAGGCATAGTTTGATAAATTGGGGAGTGTGTATGATTCTTGTAGAACCACAATGACACAACCCACCATAATATTGGCCAACTGAAGGGCCAGTTTCTCTCATTCTATGTCACCTCATTGTCGACCATTCTTTCACCCCAAGGTCTAATACATACTGTGCTCGTTGGGTCATCCTTCTGGCTGCTAAGTGAAACCTCACTTGCTTCTTGCACTTGTTCAAGCATGCTTCTTCTCTTCTGCCATGTGAAAGCATTCAAGATCAAAACCCCACTCTCCTCTATCTATCCATGTGTCTCATCCTCGCTCCTTCTTTCTGGCGTACACCGACGGTCGCGACGCGACGCACGTGGGCGGGCGAACGGCGTTCGGCGAGAACCGTGACGACCGAAGCGCCACGGCGGAAGCGCGGACGTGAAACCAGTTGCGTAAGGATTTCAATAGGGAGACCTCCCAGGCAACGATACCCTGGAAGAAGGGTAGACTTTTGACCAGTCTACCCATTGGTTGGGGGTATATAAGAATTACACACCCATAAATGAAACTACCAGCCATGTGTTCTCATTGAGGAAAAACACTGAGTCCCATCCCGAGCAAAGAAAGCGCCCTGAAAGGGCACCACCAAGCCAGTCTCAGAAGCCCACCATCAGATGGAAGAAAGTCAGACTTCCAACAAGGATCTGAACTCAACCAGCTCCAAGATCCTCCAAGTACTTCTGAAATCTTCTGAACAATCTGAGCAAACTCTCCAATTGTTCTCCACGAAACCATCTTCTTTTCACGGAGCTAGTCACGAAGCTACTAGTAGTCAGGTGTTCAACCCATCCGGGTGTTCCATGGGTTTTCTCTTCCCAATGACAATCATCACCATCGCCCTTGGCCTGGGAAGTCATTCGCTGGGACCCGCCTTCAGGTGGTCTGGCGCTCGACCCGCTGCTTGGGCCTCACGGTGACCAAGCAAAAGCGAGTCGCGGAAAACAGTCGGAAGCCAAAGTGTGACCCGTACCCTCCTAACAGCCTAAGGGTTCAGGACCATGCTAAAGATCTCCTTTGACCCCAAAGACTATTCTCTGGAAGTACTTACACCTCCATCCTCAAGAGGTGCGACCCTATGGGACATCCTCATGATGACGTGGATGGCCTTTCTTCCAACATCCTGTTTCCTCCACAAACAGGGGATGGTCCGCTTCCATGCTTGTTGGAGAGTCATAGAAGGAGGATGAAGATGCCTTGAATGTGACATTGGTGACATGAAATGTCTCTGAGCATCAATCTACAAGCTTCTGCACAAAGAACCATCAAAAGCACGTACAAAAATAATTTTGGCATGGCACAACATCTCAGCATCGTCATGTACCAGCCCTTTTCGTCAGCTGCCTGAGGTTTGCCTCGGATTGATTTTGATTCTCGATGTGATGTTTGCCTTCACCATCTGAATCATCAGCTGAGGGTCCATAAAACCTCTGCTGAGACCGGCTATAGACCGGCTATATAGTTATAGGCTAATGTTCACCAACATTATCATAATACCAAAGTTGTGTGCCGTTGAATGTGCAGTACTATATACTGGGAAAGATCTCTGCCGTAGGGGGAAAATGCTGCAAGTGCCCAGCACGGTGCCCAGCGATGTTTGGCTCTTCGGTTGTTTCCAATCAGCTCCCGAACCGAACGAAGCAAGGGGGTGAAAGCACCTGGACCCTCCATGCAGCCCCGACCCAAACGAGCATGAGTTCCATGGCCAAACACCACACAAATGGGCACTTGACTATGTATGCTTGAATTCTTGAATTTGATAGTACGCCTGTACCCCCTTTTGATGGCTCCAAATGGAGGGTGCAGGTCAACCCGGCCACCTGGCACCACCCCCTTCCAACTGCCCCCCCTGCCACGGTGGTGTCCGATGGTCTGATTTCGGGCGCCCCAGCCCAACAAGCTTCGACACTCGTCCGAGCTTGAGGAGGTCCCACCCAGCTCCTCGTGTCGTGACAGCGTTGACCAAGGCAGAAGAAGCCAGGACCGGGGATCGAAGAAGTGAGGACCCTGAGGTTTCGGTCGCTGGGAACACCAGTAGATTGTTCGAAAAAGCATCCGAAGACAACCCATCGATCATATGGCTGGTCATTGGCACCAGGAGACCGACCGGTTGACCTACCGACGTAGGTCTTTCACTTCGGACCAGGGCTCCATGTGAAAGCGGCTTCCAGGGAGCTCTGGAGACAATCATCGCTTCTGGCAATGGTGGATCATTTGATGCTAGCCTAGGCCAAGCAAGTTGGGATCTTCAGGAAGTAAAGTCAATAAAAAAAACCCAATGGTTCGAGGATGTCCAAGGGTTTCTTGCATTGAGCCAACTGGGTACCAGCTGTCTTAGAGTTCCGAGATGTAAGTTATACAAGGAATTTGGATGAATTTGGGATAATTCCATATAGAAAGACGAATGTGCGATGGGAGGGTATAATAGGCATGACCTGGTTATAGAAATGCGAAATTGGACGCGGATATGTTGCGTTTAAAGTAACGCTTGACTTACCTCAAAATAGTTGCAACACCATGCTTGAACATGTCCATGTCGAGGAAGTCTCAAAAAATTAAATCGATCAAAGCACTCTCAATAAGGATTTCTCTTGTATGGCCATCCGAAACATGTCTCTCCATGGTGGCCTTCCCTGTTTCTCAATCCACGACGTGATCGAGCTACGGATCGCCGACGGCCACGACACGGCAGCTGCAAACAAGAGGCACTGGTCGTCACCGACCAAGGATTGGTAGGAACCGTTGGGTTGCAAGTTTGGGTTGCAACGGGTATCCGAACCAGTGGTTTCAGAGTGCTGTGTGTGTGTGTCTCGAACCTCCTTGTAAGTTTTATGTGGTAGAGGCTCTTCCTCGTGGTGTGTGGCTCTTCTTCCTCCAGGTCCGCCACTGTGGTCGAGTCACACTCGACCAACCATCGATTCTGCGACAACCCCGCACCTTGCTTGCCATGGGCGGCACGATGCAGCAAACAAAGCGGCTTGTCTCGTTGGCCGGAGGCTTGTCTTGTTGGCCAGCTAGATGTCTTAAGGTCCAGGTTTAGTAGGCTAGATGTCTTTATGGTCATCCATTAAAAGCCCATGCATGGCCGTACCAGAAGATCCTGGTCTAACTGTGTGCAAGGCTGTCCAAAGTCATCTCGCTAAGGATGCAGGATGCCATCTCTCGCTTCCCCATGGTTTCACTGTCCAAAGCCGCAGATCCTGTCACAATCTTGGTGCTGCCAGAAGTAGATCTCATTCATCAGCCTTGCACATTTTAAAGTGATCTCTTGATTGTTTCTTGACAATCTGAGTCGAGCTATGCAGCTTTTTACGAACCAAAGATGAACAGTTCCCGGAGTGGAACGACCGTACCAATGTCAAGAAACGCTGGTTGCCACCTACACAAACACATTGATCTCAGCGACAATGACATTGCAGCACTTACTAAGCAAGTCTATAGAAAATAAATGAAAATAACAGGAAGACCCCCAACAATTGGTTGTAGCTAGGTTTCTCTTTTACCAGGGGTTGCAAACTGTGCATTGACCAGTATTAGATACGGCTTACAGCTTTGGGTGACCGACATCTCTCAGCAAGGCTGTCCTTGAATCTTCACCCATCTGTGATATACACGCCTCACTAAGGGGACCTTTGGGTGAAGAAGACCTCTGGGTGTGTGTTTTGTTTCTGTATTTTTCTTCCAGCAGGTCCAGAAATCGGAATGGTTTGGATAGATGTCTCGCAATGGTTCTCTATGGTTCTCTGATAGTTAATAGTTGTCTGGTCTATCTAATGGATGTGCACATGCACACATCAATCTATTGCATTCTGAAACCAGTGGCATCCCCGATCCTCCTCCGATCAGTCTCTATGGTCCGTTCGTCACCCGTGTGGGACGTGCACGTGCGGGACGTGCACGGAGTGGTGTTGGACACTCACCTGCTCCCCCTGCGGACGCAGTGTGTTGGCCCCAAGAAAGTGCCTTTCGATGCATTTCGTCTCATGTCACCAAGAAAGCTGATCGAGTGCTACATGAGACCAGCACGGTGCGGGTGCAAAGAACCCTCCTGACCTTCGTGTCCTTCTAGTCCACAGTAACCTGGACTCTGAGCATCTGCAATGCCATGGAATATGGAACGTGCTCCTCTTGTCTCACACTTGGCCGCTCCAAGTACGCCTCCCCAAAGCACACACCCGAGTACGTCACCCATGGCCATCTGCATTTGGCACGTTGGCCCGACGTACGTCTTGCATCCTTCGGTCCCATCACCTGCTGACCTCCCCCAGTCCGAAGGTTTCCAGAGGATCCAGGAGTGTCTGGACAACACAAAACCATAAACCCCCAGGGCTCCTGGCCCATCTCCTCAGGTTCGATGGTATTCGACCCCCCTGGCACCCACCCTAACCACCGAACCGAAACGGAGGTAGGCCAGCCCAAACGGGAACAAACAATAACAAACGTATCAGGATCAGGATCATCCAAGGGGCCAATGGATGTCCTGGCCAAACTTCCCAACACATAGGATCTCCAAGCAGGACACCCAATGGAGCTGGATGCTCCAGGTGCACGTCCTGAGCTATGTGTAGAAGAGTCTGAGTCTACCGGAGTCTACCCACTGAAAAATGTTGATCCCTAGTATTCCACAGACCCTTTGAGAAGGTACTTCGGTACTTGGGGATCTCTGAACTGATCTCTGAGGAGCGTTGCTTTGAAGCTTTGGAGGGTCCAACTGCTTTGGGCGTACCTTGGGCATAGCGGGCGCCCGCTTTTTGGCTTTCGCTGTCGGCTGAGGCGCATCGCTCGTTGCGGAACCTCGTCTCTGGCCGTCGCTCGGGGCGGCGAGGGCGTGCCGCGCGTGCGCGCCGGCGCTGCGCATCCAGGGTCGTTGCAGCTACTCTGCGGTTGGGCAGTTCTGGCGCACCAGTGGACCAAGATGTATATTATACTGTGTTACTGTACCCTATGGATCCACATACCTTCTGAGAAGGTGATTGGAGACTATTTAGGTAGGCTTGGAGGGTCCAATTACCTTCTGAGAAGGTATGTGGATCCATAGGGGTATGGTGTTCTATGTTTTTCTGACGCATACAATGTGTCCAAGTGGCTGAGTGATGCATCCTCGATGCGTGTTTCCCAGTGTGGCTATTCACTTCTCAACTCTGGATTCGCTTCGGTTGGCAGCTGTCGCATGCGCCCTCATTTCCACCACGTTCGCTTCAAAAAACAAATACCTCATCGTCTCCTAAGACTCGAACCCTCAAAAGGGTCCGCCGCGCTCCACAGGTGAGCTCTGCGTCCATCGTGTCTGCTCGCCTTCACGCGCCTGCACGCGTGGTCCGTGGTCTCCTACGTGGGCCCTACGCATCGAAGTATCAAATCTGGGTGCCAGGAGTCACAGAGCTCGGGGTGGTTTGCCTCGTCCCATCCAGTGAGTGGATGTAATGGGCACACCGACTTCCTCGGATCGCACCCCTATCCATGTGACTGCTGGTGAGACCACTTTCATCGGACTTCGAATGTGAATCTTGTTAGGTTCTGGTGACCAACATCTTGGTTGTGATTGGCTCGCGTTCGCCTTGTTGAGAAGACGTGGAATCCATGGATGAGCCATAGGCAGCCATGATACCAAAGAAGCACCTGAGTTTGAGGATCTTTGATTGGTGGCACAAGGCACATTGATCTGTTGAAAACCGCATGGTCCACCGCTTCCGTACTCAGTTGCGACCTTCCATGGCCCAAATTCCTAGAACACCTTGCAACAACTGGGATTTATGGGGAGAAGATGAGAAGAAGGGAGATTTGATCACAGGTGTTGATGATGACATTGCCACCAGGTTTCTTCGGGCGACACAGAATCTTTGATTCAACCAATGCAACGGTGGTCAGTCCATCGCAGGATTCACCAACATGCAAGGTTTCGTGAAAGACGAGTTTCACCTGCGAAGCGCCATTCTTAGAACTGCGCGCCTGTTGGGGTCTCTGTGGATGTCAAGAGCTCCAAGGACCTATATCTAAAGTCAGCAAGCGCCTAGCAACCCATGCCCATGTCAAGCAAATAAACACCAATGTTTCATATTGACGAAAAAACTCATCGGATTGTTGTTGTCCTGGTGTTGGGTCCAAATTGATCCCTATATATGCTGCAACAGCTATACGATGCCATACCTACAGTTCGTTGCAAGTTGTCAAGCACAAGTGTTCTTGAGTTACCAATTTGGGCGTTGGGGTAGGTGCCTGGTGTTCCACGCCTCTACAGCAACCGCACAAGGGATTGAACTTCGTTCCTCAAGCCTCGCAAGTTTCTATTTATGAGCGCCGGACGAAATCAGGTATCTGGCCTGGGGACATTGCCTTGAATGGGCCGGCCCCCATCGGTTATGCAGGTTTTGAGGGTTGGCTGCAAAGCAGGTCTACTTGTTACCCTCAGCAAGGCATCAAGCTTGCCATAATTTGGCACACCACAATGGGCACGAATTAAGTACAGGAGTGGTTGTACAAGTTGTGGGGGAGTCGCTCTTCCATGGGCACAAACATATTCAAAGTGTAGTGGCTACACGGTTGTACAATAGTCCAAGCATCGGTTGGGGCATCGGTTAGTTAGTCACTGCTGTGAGAAAGCTATTCAGTGGATGGAAATTTTAGGGTCTTGCAGCGCATCTCTTTCAGCCACAGTCTTGGGTCACAAACAGCCGGGCTGCTCTCCAACACCAGGCGTGTTGCAGCTCTTAAGACCCGGGACAACAACACCACAACCGCTACCTTTTGACTGCAGCTTCACAAAAGCAGGCAGCCAAAGGATAGCAGCGACTCGATCCATAGGTCCATTGGGCGACAACCAATTCTTCCAGTTCAGCTGCAAAACAGGTCGGTGCAAGCAGCAACTCAAACAAACTGAGAAGGGAAACATACCAAGCGTTTGTGCCAGCTGCAGATATAGCGTGGCGCCGTGCTTCCTTAAGTGGTTGGTACATCGAAAGGGCATCGGCAGACAGGTCGGGCCCCATCGGTAGTGCACATTTGATGCAGGCTTTCGACATCCCAAGGCATCCCTGTGATTACTTTAGCATGTGCTAGATTTAGCACCCAACCACCGCCAGTACAAATGGTATAGCTTCCGCACATAGAGTAGCGGCAATGCATGTTAAACAGGGGGGTTGATGGGGGTTGTATGTTTCGACAGTGTTCTTTCAAAAGCTTCAAGTACCACCACAGCAAAAATGAAGGCTGCGGCTGAACTGTACCTGTTTGATGCCTCTGACAGCACAAAGATTGTCACATAGCACATAGCGGCTGTGAGCCATCTCTCTTCCCTCACAAGGAAATCCGGTGTGAGCCAGACTGAGGCTTGAAGCCGATGATTAGATACCAGCAATACAACTCAACATCAACACACATGACAAGCATAGTGTCACTTTATAAAGAGGTATGTTTCCAGGGTATGTTTCAATCTATGTCTTGGATGGAGCTCAACATGTGTCTTACCTAAAGTGACTAGCACCATGATTTATGGAAACAACCAAATCGCTTCCTAAATGTTGCGGTGTGGCGCCCAGGCAGAAACTTCCTGGGCACGAGAACTGCGATCTTCAGTAGCTTCAATCCACAGAAGCATCCCCAAAGAGGCACGCCTGAACACAAGCTGTTAAACAGTCGAAGAATCGAAAGAAATTCACCACTTCGTCGCTTCGTCGATGCGGTAAAATCATTGCTCGAGGAACTGCACATCGGGATTACCGAAAGACCCGGTGAGACCGAAAGGACTTGGTTTTCCGTGACCGGCAACCGATAAGAGCTGGCTCAGGAGTCGGCCCTCATCTCTGGAGTCGGCCTATGGGGCTAAGTTGGTTTCACAAGAAGCTGGTTGGGACGCTCAGGGAAAAAGGTTGTTTTTGGCCACTGCGGGTCTTGCCGGGTGGAAAAAACGCTAAGATCGCTTTCTGGCACCTGCCTCACAGTCAAGGAAAAATGTCGTCTCGGCTGACAAAGTGATATTGATTTTTTGAGTGGTGATTTGTGACCGTGGGACCACTGTTGGGTGATTTGTGGAGTTGCAAAAGTGGTTGGACGACAGTCACTTTCAAGAACCAAATGCTCGTTTATGGCTCGCATGGAAGCAGGGCATGTCTTTGCATCCGACATGTCTGGGCATGAAAACTGAAGGCTGAAGGCAAACTTGAGGGCAATGTTCAATGCAACTCGATTTGCTGCTGTCTCTACTCCACAGCAATCGACGAAGCCTGACATATCTTAAAAGTTGGGTGCAGCCCCTTGGACAGCCCGGTGAGCCGTGTTCTGCTTTAGAGACACCAAAGAGCTGACCACAGGTTACCTCTCTTGCTTGAGTGGAACACTTCAAGCTCACCCCGTTTTTGGCACCGATTTCAGCCCATCGGGGACTGGGCCGTGCATCTCTCAGGGGGTCACCGCCTCAAGCACCGGGCCGACGCTTGGTCTACTGGCGCTTCCCAGCAGCAGGTGGCTCAGTGGCGTGGAGCAGGTGGCTCGGTTCCGGCCTGCGGAGCTGCCTGCGGAGCTGCTCCGAGTCTTTCTAGGCCACCGAATTCGGTCGCTGTCTGCGGAAATCCGCGTGGGGAAGTTGGAACATGTCTCAATGCTCACAACGGCATCTATCACCAAGTCACCAAGCACCCCTTGTCAGTGTTCCATCGAGTTCCATGGGTCATCAGCACCATCTGGCTTCATAGGGGCATAAGGTCAAGGTCGTAGCCGAGTAGGTCGTAAATATCGAGGTACGCTTCGAGCCCTACTTCGCCCAGTTCGTCAAAAACATCACCCGATCTGCAGGTCGCTGACACCCTTCGGTCGCTGCGACCGACCCCCGGCCGAGCGGACCCACGGGCGCAAGGCGCTGGGACCAGGCGCGCCGGCTCAGGCTGGGAATGAACTCCACAGAAGGTACTTGGTTTCGTCGCTTGAAGGATCTGTAAGGGGGAGCTGTATATATAGGTTCCAAATCTTTTCAGAATTTTCCAGATATATCCAGGCGAGTATACGTAGGTACCACGCCAAAGAATGGTCTTTCAATGCCCACAGCACATCCCAGAAACAAATTGTGTATAGCCCCTTTTGGGGACGCTGTCGACTGGAGTAGTTTCCTTGTCGACTCCTTTTGAGTCTCCTGAAGTCGTTCGTAGGTCCTAAAGGCTGCTTCGATGCTCCAGTCCTGGAGTCACTGAACACACCGTCTTGACCTGCCATCCACACAACCAGACCGAACAGCACGACCGAACGAGCATGCACGTGCGAAGCATGTTCACCGGATGTCTGACGTAAGAGCACCACAAAATCCCAAGCCTAGGCCCAGCCCGTCACGGCAAAAGTTATGGAAGTTACTCAAAGAGTCATATAAATACAAAGTAATGGGGTACGCTAAATGATGCTAAATGTATCATGCTCTTCCACACATGGATGGTCTGGGAAGGTTCGTTCCCGGCTGCACCCTCCATGCGTCTGCACCGGATCCTGGACGCTTCCACCGGATCCTTCCCGCACCTTCAGGCATTGAGTTGTGCATGTACTGCTGCCTGGCAATGCAAATCCAAACGTTGAGTACACCGAGTACACCGAGTGGGTGAAACGAATTGAGTGCATGAGGGGGGAGCGCTGGACCAGCGGGGCTGACACGTTGGATTACATAGATCATCAATCATATATCCGATATACCCCTTGTGTCCATCCCTGGCCGCCCTGCTTCCTCCACATGTCCGGCTCATGGTTCAATCCTTTGACACCAAAACATTCACACATATATTTCACAAATGTCAAATCCAGTTCTACATGGCCAAGTCCCAGGCCAGCAACATGCCTCCCCTCACGTTCAGTTGCCCAGTCAGGGGGGACAATTTCCGCCGCGTTCGTTCGAGCTCGCTCGCTGTTTTCCGCTGCGTTCGAGCTCCGGTCGTCCACCTGCGTCAAGAGTCCGCGCTTGTAGAGGGGCTCCAATCCTCGGTCGACTGATCCCGGTCTCCAGGTTCGGAATCCAGGAGGTTAAGGGATTAGGGTTTAACCAGGTTCGGATCTACCCGATTTTTGCTTAGTATCTCAGACCAATGGGTACAGTCGGACCTGTTTCTGGTTCATGTCTCAGGAATCGAAGGGTACTGGACATAGACAATGAACCCACAGAAAGTGGTTGAGCTGACAGAAACTTGAGCGCAGCGGTGGTGCCATTTGAACGGAAGATTTACACTCCCGAGTCAACTAACATAGACCCTGACAATGGCCCCCTGGAAGAGTGTTTTCCTCTTCCAACCGGTGGTTTTCAGGGTCCATGTTAGTCTTCCAGGGTGTAAACACTTTGTTAACTGTATGTGAGTGCGCAAAAAAAATATATCCATGAACACACAACAAGTGCTGCACGTGCGAGACATTTGTTTTTTTCTCAGTGCATCCTGTGGCCCCACTTCCTCAAATATTCTGGAGAACCGTGTCTCACACCATGGACTTTGCAATGTTGGAAGGCTCCTTAGCTGAATCCTGAACAGCTAGCCTATCAGGCTGTATCCCAGCCTATCCACAGTCCCTTTTGTCAAAAAGACTCTTTTGTCTGATCGCCAATTGTGGGCCTGGGTAGTTGTTTCAACAGCTTGCATGTGTGTGTGTGTGCATTGAATTAGGGAGGATACAATCAACTTTTGGTTCCGATACACACCCCTATCATCCCATATCCGTTTCTTGCATCTTGACTCGAAAACAATCCCTGGTGGAGCAGAAGGCTCCCCACAACTCCACATGACTATTACAGTTTAAAGTGCTAACGTTGCACCAACACCAAACATTCCCAAGATATCCAAGATGAACCCACAACTTCCGGGCACCTCCTTTCACCTTTCGACTGGTTGTCTAATGGTTTTAGAAACTGAACAAGTCAGACATTGGTTCATGAATCATCATAATTCATCACAACTCACCGATGTTGCAAAGCCAAATCCAATTGTTCTTATCTTGGTCAGGTAGCACTTGTTTCGAGATCGGCATTACAAGTCACTTTACTAAGACTTAGGAAGGGCTTGAAGAACTCCCTGTGGAGCTCCCTGTTTCGCAAGCTGGATGCCCCCCCCCCAGCGTGTTGCTCGCCGCTCCGCTCCGCTCCGTTCCAAGGGGCGGAAGATGTTCTGCAAGGCCTTGGGGAACGAGAGAAAGCTTAGCCCGGGTGCTTTCTGCAGTGACAGGACCGAACAGGAACAACGGCTTCTCCCGAACCGCTTTTGCCTTGAAAAAAAAGGAGGCTTCACCCTCTTAGTTCCTCCTATTTTTTCCATCTGTTCGCACCTCTCTGGCTGGGTTTTATAATTTAGGGGGAAACCAATCCGAAAAAAAAGGTTTTGCAGGTTGTCCACGTTTTCAGAAACACATGCGCACAGGTTTTTCGAGATGTCCATATGAATTGCTTGGTGGCCAATGCTACAGAACTAATCAACAAAAACATTGGCTTGGCGGCTTCTTTCTTCGACTTCGAAGGGTGGGACTCGCCGGGTCTACCATCCGAAGCAGGGTCGAAGGAAGCACGACCATCACCAGAAAACATGATGAACCTTTCTGTTTCAGGAAAACCGAGAGGGTGAGCAGTCCCGGCGAGCACTTGTAACCTTCCCTAAGTTCCTTTGTCTCGAGGAGGTCGCACACCGAATCGCAAGGGTGCCGAACCCGAAGCAAACCGTTCCCATAGCAGTCAGGCGCGGATTCTTGGAGCAGGCTGATTCAACATTTAAAGGTAAAACGTGGCTGCAGAAATCAGATCCATAGCAACTTGAACCGCCGCTTGACTCGTCATGGTGTCGCAGGCCTCGAGGGGATCTTGAGGACCACTCATTCCTATTGAGTGCACTTAGCGAAGGACTTGTACAGTAAATACAGTGGATGCTTCCTTGTGAAGAAGATCCGTTTGGATTCACATGAATGGGGCATCCTTAGCAATATTGTAATCGACTATTGTACATACATATTATGGATACAAATATGGGTCTAGGGTCTAGAAGTCACCTCTCAATGCAGGATGCTGCAACATTTGCAATGTTGGCCTTGCTGGGCCTCCCTGCCATGATCTTACTCCTCTTGTCCGCGAGCGACTCATCTTCCTAGTGAGAAGGCAGAGTGCACCCTTCCGAAGAAGGATCAAGCAGTGAGGCCTTTGAAGTTGCTTATATCGACCTTGCATGCTTTGAGAAGTTCTCAGCAGGAGCTCTGTCTGAAATCGCATGTCTCCAAGTAGACTCGTCATTTGGGCTTGGCGATGTGTGACAACTTGGTCTTGAAACTGTGGTCAGTTGTTTGGAGGCTTTCTGACTTCAAACATGTTTGTGCTACAAGGTGTTGTGTATATTTCAATTATCAAAACTATTTAGTATATATGCCCTTGAGACTCTATCCATGGTTCCTTTTTGGGCACCAAGAGCATCTGTATGATCCTCGACGATGTGCAGTGAGACATTTCTCTGAGAATCTTGTGCATTGACATGATGCTTGTGCATATCTTCAAAAGCATCAACTACAGCCATGGATTTATTTGACCCTGCAGAACCGCAAGGCTTGGATCCGCAGCACCTTCACCTCTCCCTGAGAATCTGGGCCCGATCTGCTTTGGAAAGGGGCTGATCTGGTTCAGATGGGTCCCTCTGGACCCTGCGGAGATCGGTGGTTGGGGCCTCAGGCCCTACTACCCTGCCCCCCTGCCCGTTCGTCGGCTCCGCACGGATTCGCCAAGGGCAGAGAAGGTTCGCCAAGGGACCAACGAAGTGCCAACTCCGAATTGCCATTCGTTGGTCCCTTCGATGAATGGACCGTAGAATGTCATCCACTCTAGACTGGCCATGTGATCCCCCAAAGAAGTGATTGTCATCAATTCAACACATATTTTTTTGTAGAACAATAAATATATATATATATATATTTGTATATTCCAATTTAATATATATATATAGAACTGTGATGTCAAAAACTATCCCAATTATAGGGAAGTGGATTCTGACATGATTCTCTTCTCCCACTCTCTCGGATGGTCTCGGGGGGCGGTTCGGGGGCGGCTCACGATTCGATTTGCACAAGCATCTTCTGGGGCCACGAAGCAGCCTCAATGGCCCAGCCACGCCCAGCCAGCAGTTCGCAACGTGCCACTGTTCTGACTGTTGTGTACGGCCCTTGCTACGTTCGTAGCAACGCCCTTGTGACTACTAGCTTCTTGTTACGTCCGTAGCGATGCCAGTGGCCGCTGGGGAATGAGGGAAGTTTCGCCGTAGCAATAGAGATTCCAATCTGGATCCAGCCACCCTCATTCCTTTGGATTTTGGTGGGGTCAATGTATAATATATTTAATAGTATTGTGTGCATGGAGTGTCCATAGCACCTACTTGGAACATCTTGGAACTGGAAATCATCAAATTCGACTAGCCCATTTCAGGAGAAACATGCCTTTTGAGTCCTTTTGAGTCTTTTCAGTGAGAAACAAGGTGTGGTCACATGAACACAAACCAGCATGACACTTAAATGCTTCATATCTACGGTGTTGTACGTCGGACGGTGACGCTTAGTACACAGGGCAAGCCACAGGCAAACCGGCTTTCTGCTAGGTCATTCTAACATAGAAACAACAGTCAAAAGACTTCATCAGCTCAACTGACAAAAGCTCGACATTTCATGATACTTCTGTCATGGCGAACTGAGCTGGCTCAGGTGTATCCTACAATGATCAGCCTGCGCGCGCCACGAGCAGCCCTTCCTCACAGCTCCTCCAAACCCACTGCCAGGGCACTCGCTCTCGAACCGAACAGTAATTGTCAGCTGACTCCAAGTCTTCAAGGACTTCCAGGTGTCTCAAGGAGTTTCTTCAAGTCTTCAAGGTGTCACAGATCGGTGCAGCATCGAATCAACTCCCCCTGGCCGCCTGGCCACCTAAACCGGCGGAATCTGCCACAAACAAAGCCGGCGATCGGTTCAGGTCACGCTGCCAAACTCATATACAATGGGACTGGCGTACCGATCAGGCCAGGGGTGGTTTGAGGGGGTCAATGCAGTGCAGGCATATCAATTCCAGTCCCATGGAGCGTCTCGGGTAGGAACCCCCTTTGGTTCCATGAATCTACCGGAGTTGGAGAGGAGGTCGGGTGGTCCGTGGCCGCCTACCGCAACTGAGGGGCCATGCAGGACGCTTCGGCTCAGGAGATGCTTGGCTCAGCACGGCAAGGCCAGCTGGACTGGGAAGAAGAGTTTGTGGCTTTGAGTATTTGGAGTGCTTCAACTAGGATTTTGAGATTGTATGGATCGATCGGAGCGTATCAAGTAGGCAACATCTTCCAACAAAACAACCAATGGCAAGTCTGCGACACCTGAGGAAGCGATGATCTGTCCACAGAATCTGCGTTTGGAGCCTTGGGGGGTGGGTCAAAGACGGAAAGCGATCAAGAAACAGGCAATGTTGACGTTCCCCGCCCTAGAGCTCCAGTCTAGCCTTCCAAGAAGGTGGGACTGGGGTGGATTTAGAGGGTCCAAATACCTTCTGAGGAGGCACTTGGAGCCCTAGGGAAAAATAAGTTTCTGGGTTTTCTGCCTTTGCAAAAAAACCATTGTAACCAAGTCAGCTGCCCAATCCCTGAGAGGGGCCCAAGCTGTGTTCCAAAGCTACATGGCAGAGTGGCGTGGGAAGTGCTGTGCCATGTGATGTGGTGAAGTCCGATGAACTACTTAAGACTTAAGAGAAACCCAGGTAATAAACCCCGTGGGTTTCCAAGGTTTCTTCAGAAGTTAGTCAGACTCTCCACATCCTATGTAAGCACCTTCCAGGAGTTAAATTGAAGCCTTGGGGGATACCACGGGATACCACGGGATACTGCGGATGCCTTACTCAAGGTATTCTTGTCTAGCGCACACAAGACAGGCCCGAAATCTGACAGTCCCTCCCAAAATCAGAACTTGGATATTGATATGCTATCCATTTCCAACTGAGAACAGCATCTCCAAGCTCTGCCGCATCTGTACATCATGAGGGATGGTCAGAATACACGGCTCAACAATGACACGGGACATTGGGGGCTCGTATGTGTAAACAAATCCACACAGGATTGATTTTGGTCTAAAATGACCTGTTGCTTTCGCAGTCCGAAGTAGCCACTGCATCAGGGCCATATCAGTTGTTGCCACCATGCATGTCCATCTTCAATTGCTAGTGTCTTGACATGTCTTGACCATCCCTGCGCTAGACCTCAACATCTCAGGCTTTCTTCGCATCTGCCTGGACAGCGCAGCAGGGGCAGCATCCTCATGTTAATCTTGGACAAACTTACCCTTGGAGACTGGGTTGTGTGTGTGCCACGCCACACAAAGAAGAGCCTGTTAAGTGTTGACAGTGAATTACATGTGTGTATATATATATATATGTATGTCCATTAGATAGATAGGATAGGACAGGACAGGATAGATAGGTGGATGGTCCAAATCTGGTTCACATGGCACAGAACCTTCACCTTGCAGCAGTTTACTTGCAAAGCACCACACCCAAACAGGAACTTGATTGCCAACCATGGGTTCAATATGGTTCAATTATCGACTTCCAATAGTAACGATAGAAATGCAGCCTGGAAGGCGCGCAGTCGGTCCAGGTGGACATTCCCATCACCGGGTGCGGACTCTGACCGTCACCCCAAAGGCAACTCCAGTCTATGACCACTGAATGACCTCTTCGCATGGCATCGACGGCTGGGCGGTCGACTGGACCTCACCAGTCCAAGACGTCGCTCTGCTGTCCAAGACGTCGCTCGCCTTGTTGATCTTGTTCCTCAGGCACACATGTGAAATGAAGAAAAACATGTGCCATGCGACACAGTCGAGAAGTCCAAGCTGAAGACTATCCCAAAGACTATCCAAAGACGACTAATGGGACTGGCATATTTGCCGATTATATGGGATGGTGGAATCGAAACGGGGTCAATAATGCATGTATTCCATACATGAAGCATCTGCCTGGAAACCCATACAACCAGAAACAAATGGTTGTTCCATGTTGTTCCAATATTGCAATTAGGATCCTTTATTAGTAGGAAGGAACACTGTTTGGAAAACATCCATTTGTGTCTGGTTGTTTGAGTTTCCAGGTGGTATCTACTCATGTACCTGTGAAAGAGTGTGCAATGTCTGGCGACTATCTTCGCAGGAAGATGCAGGAAGGAACCTTTTGAAACGACAAAGCACCCAGCAACGCCGCGGCAAAAGAAGTCCTTTGCTGCCTGACTTGATCCTCTTGAAATGAAGGGCCTGAAATGAAGATGAGACACGTGAACATTTGCCACGTCATTCGAGCGAGCTGACGTGGCACCCCGAAAGGTTCCATACGTCGCTACGACCGGAAGACTCATTCAATCTCATTCACATGCAACTGTGTGAACAACTGAACACTGGAGAACCGAAACACTGGAGAACCGAAAATGCCATCCGTCACGCGCCATCCGCAACGTGAGCACGCGGCGCGCCATCCGTTCTCCGCGCCATCCGCAACGCGATCCTCGGTCCGTTCTCCGAGGCGCTTCTCCAGCAACCTCGCAGCCCATTCAAAGGGAAGCCCTGAGTGCATGAAGGGCGGTGGATCGAGGGCCGGGGGTGTGAGTTTGGCTAGGTGCTTTTTGTTTTTGGCTGGGTGAAACATGAATACTTTCAGTTCCATCATGTGTCAAAATCAGGAATAAATGCATCATTTAGGACACAAGAACGCCTTGAAGCGGCAGCACTGAAAACAACTGCACATCTTGTTCAGACGTTGGTTTTGATGGCTTCGCCAACAAAAGGCCATGTGACTATCGGGCACAACTCTGGAGAAGGAGACAACGTTTGAGAATCTTCTGGCTAAAGAAACATGCTCAAGCATTAAAGACTCTTTGAAAGCACATCAGCACTTCAACAACATCTGCAGCGCCTACCACCAGCTTGCCAGAAGGAACTTTCTTGAAGGTGTTCACCTTCTTGCTGTCCTGACATGCAGAGGCGCCCAAAGGGTTTGGGCCTTGAGACTTGGTCGATATGAAAAGCATCGGTCGGATGTCTGCGACATGTCCAGTTGGTGAGGGGTTTCCCAAACGTCCCACCTTCCCCAGGT